GGGCATTAGAGAGCGAGCATAAACATCATAAGAATCAAGATGCAGGCGAGAACCACTGGTTTGGGAAAGATTGGAACAAACGGGACAATGGAGGGACATGGTGACATGGGATTGGGCTTCCGGCTGTTGGCGCCACATCCGACATGACCTGATTCCCCATTTCCTGCATGGCTCGACTCCCGTCCGCACTCTGCACTAATGATGCTGGACTCCGTACTTATCTCATTTCACGTGTCTTTACTGCTTCGCGTCAGTAGGTATCTGGGAGGATTCAATAAGTGCCTTACTGGCTGCATCTTCATATAAGAAGAAGTATACTTAAGGTAAGGTACGGCAGCAAACATATAAGCTATTCCTCAGTACAAATATGCCTTGGCACGCTTGGGCAAGATGTAGCAGCAGCAGCAGCCGCCAAAGTTGGCAGGCACCTTGCATCCAATCCCTCCTTCTCTTGCCTTACAACTTTAGAAGGCCCCGCCGGTGCCGCCGCCACGGACAGATACGTACCGAGCCCCGTCCCACCCCGGGCACCTGCACCAACTAAGGTACTTGTAAGGTACCTTAGGCATCTCAGCCATTGGATCCCCAGTGGAGAACCCGGAGAAGGAAAGAACGCCCTTGCGCCGCCTTCCCTTTCCCAAATCCCGTCCTGGGTACGGAGTAGGTACATACAACATAAGGTACCTTTCAGTGCGCCTGACCTGCGCTGCCTGTCGTTCCAGTGTGAACCTGCCGCAAAAAACCTTCTGACCGGAGGTAGATTTGCGTCTCATGCTTCTACGTTGATCCGCTTGGACCTCAACGAGGACAACTCCACCTCAAGAACCTTTCCCCCAGTCAAACCACAATCTCCAACTCACTTTTGACAATGGACTTTACAAACCGCAAACGCCGCCAGCAACCCCTCGCACCTTGCAAAGCCTCCTCGATAGACAGGCGATAGATGGACCTTAGCCGCCCAGTGGTGGGCCAAGTGACTTGGACAATGTCACAAACTTGACTACCACAGACGGAACCCTGCTGATAACACCACTCCTGGCTTCTTCGTCATTGTCGGTCCCTTGACCAACTGCCATCCTGCAGCCTCTACCATGTGGCACGTCGACGTGCCACACTGTTAATGTACAACGTTGGCGCCTGGCGGTGAGCGAACGAAACCGTCCCCGGATACAAGGCTTTGAAGCAGCCTCGATCAAGGCAAAGCTACATTCGGAAATGCATCTCATTCGTTTGTAATACGTGCTATCTGCCCTCTCCTAGGCACCCAGAGGTTATTGTTCCCCCTTTCCCTGTCACCGCCAATAATAAGTTCTGTGCTTGGTTGGGCTGTTGGTACTGACGGCAAATCCAGGTCTTCAAGTTCTCCGGCCTTCACCACAGATCCGACTTTCCTGCATGTGCGAACGGGGAAAGCCACGCTCATTCTCCAGCACCCTCTCGAGCGCCGGCCGTTTCCCTCCATCAGACACCGTTGGCACCCAGTCATAATTCCTAGTATCCGTCGTATGCAGCACTAGATTTGCCGAACCCGAGAGTCAATCCTTATACAGCTTGCCGCAACAATTCGCAATGCATCATGAGCTTTGGCCGGTTGAAGGAAATACCGGAAGCTATCCGTCCCCATGGTACCCGTACCGAGTACGCAGGCATATATCAGCCCACTTTCTCCAAGAACCCCATCCCTCTTCCCGCCGACCGGGTTGAGGCTTTGAGAGGCTCCGTCAACACGAAGTTTCGTTTCCCACTTGTTTCCCATTTACAATGGCCTTCGACTTACCCGCGCTGCCGATTTCTGCATGCGCTACCAATATTCCCCAATGCTGAGGGGCCTCGGGCTGATGGTATTCAGTCTTCCTGAGAAGACAGACACTCAACGTTCATGTCAGCTACGCCCATGGCACCATCCAATCCCGAATTTGGTTGCCTGACAACTGCATCCTGGACTTCAACACGCAGCCCCGAGATGATCTCGACGCCCACAATGCCAAAATTCGCGTCTCCAACAACTACATTAGCAGTACATGCGAAACTATGAGCCCTTGCCTGCTCGCCACTTAAGCTTTGGAAACGTCCGTGACACTCAAGGTCGATAATAAGGTCGGCCGATGGTCTGAGCTTCGCACAGCTCTATTGACAGGGCCAAAGTTACTCATGACTCCAAAGATGCCTCCAATGTCCCCTCAAGACGACCGCCTTGACTCGCCGACGGATTCTCAACCATATTGGAGGAGCTCCAATCGAGATTCTCCTCCACAACTCTAATTGCACTCGGGAAGTATGCTGCATGGCTCTCTTGCCCCTTTCCCCGATTCCCCCGCATTAATAACTCGAGTCCGAGTTCCCGCTTCATGCGGGACTTACTTTAGCACCAAGAACTGCACCGCACCGGCCCCACATTGCGCCGTCCGCTGCCGGAGTCATATCCGGGCTGCCGGAGTTCATTCACATTCACCATGAGACCTAGATCTACTACACTCGCAATCACCTCATCTAAACGCGCAGGCGCCAAAGTAAATGCTGCTTACATCGAAAAAATAATGGTTGGTGGCTGGGAACAGGTACCTTTAAATGTCTCAAGTTGGCGACGGTTGGTTTTCCTCACTGCGAACAGAAACAGAAACCAACAAAGAATGGGAGGGAACAGGACATTGAGCACAAAGCAAAAGTAAGAGCTACGGCTTAACCTTTGCACTCCAACGAAAGTGAGCATGGCCTAGATTGAGGACTACTGACCACTCAAGCTTCCTGGTCATTTCCCCTTCGACTAGTGATCATTCAGTGCGATTCCTGAACCATGTTCCAAATTCAGCAAGGCTGTTCCAATCAACTCATCGCAATGAGAAATACATTCTCCATTCGGCCTTTTTATCATCCCAGAAAACTTCGTAGAGAACGAAGGATGCCGTCAACCCTGCTGCTGCAAACAACTCGCGAAGAAACCAATGGAGATGTACAGGCTGCAGCAGCCCTTCTTGGCGCCCGCAGCAACATCGAGAACTAGCTAAAGCCATGTCATTGTCCTTCTCCCCATCGCTTACTTGTCGAGATCATTCGCCTCCTGCCCAATATTCGTCGCCGCACATCGAAAGGCATGGCCGCCATCGACCATGGCATTACGTATTTCGGTTCTGGGTAAGCGGCAAGGCGAATAGCTACTCTTGATACCTGAAGCGGGGGGCGCGTCTCATAAGAAGAGGCTCTCTACTAGAAATTACTCCTCGTCATCGATGCCCATCCCAACAGGGCTCTCCCACGTATCCAGGAGTAGGTTTCTGCCAGAGATGATATGGTACCCAACTTTGATCAAGGAAAGCTACCAAGGTCTCGAAGTACACCGCTTTTCACAACGTGGCAGTACTTTATGGCTTCCTCCCAGGCCGTTTGCTAGCAAACACCACACCGGAATGCAATGCCACCCTACGCTCGAGTCAGTCGTCTACATAACACCGTACGCCTTCCACGAAAGCCGGGGTAAGGGTGGTCTCAGCAGCCCTTGTCTGCCCAATGCACCTAGATGCAGTCACAGACTCCCGAGCCCGTCTTTCAACAGCTGAGAGCAGCAGCACATCAGACTCTCGTCACTGTGATCTGGTTGAGGGAGCTCTGACCCTCCACGCCGTTTCTCAATTTGAGGTCCGGCTAGCCTCTTGATGCGGCTAGTAGTAGTGGCTTACCTGCCAAAGCTTCGCGGACCAGCGCATCCCCTCATGGCAGCGGTACTGATATTGGGCTGATTCGCTCGGACATGCCATGCGGAACTCTGGCTGACCTAGAACCGCAAGAGAGAGGGGGGGTAACTTCTCTTCTGCAGCAGCGGGCTCTCTGATGCCAATAGACGAAGTCGTTTGAGGTTTCTCGTTTCTTCATCGCCTCGTCACCCTGCTTCTGCCGTCAAGTGCAGATAGGTGGCTTGGGTGGGTAAGTACCATCGAATCGATGCCGGCTGGGAACCCGACTTTGACGTTTCCGGTCGACGCTCTTTCTTGTTCCAGCCGATCAAAGGAAAGCGTTAAACCCTAGCGTCTTTGTGCAATCACCGACTTTCCTCAAGTCTGGGTGCCCTCTTTTCGCCCGCCCATCTCGATGGAATGGGAAAAGGCTGAGGAAAGTTTGAAGTCGCCACCGGGCATTGGTGCTGCTGCTTCGATAACTTGCGGGCGCCATATCCAAGTGCTTGTTGAAAGAGAGGCGGGCAGTGCCTTGCTGCAAGCTATCAGCTGTAGTGCTTCGTACAATCGAACAAAAGTTCGGATAGGCGTCTGGGAATTGACAAGTCTCGATAATACAGAAACCGACAATACTAACAGTGGGATCCCTCGAGGAAGACTGCATCCAGGAAACGCCATTGAATCTCTTTGGATTGGAAAGGTCTGTTTGTGTCTATCGAATCTATTGGGGGTTGTGTTGGGCATAGTTACTATTCTGTTGGTACAGGGGTGTGTGTTTTCTAGCCGCGCGACGGAGTATTTACAGACTCTCTCTCCTTCTAATAAGCTGAGAAGATGGTGGTTTGTCTCCCGTGTGGAGGAAAGAAACCTTGACAATATACAAGCCGCATGTGTTGTACAGAATTACGAACGGTAAGAAAAAAAGAGGAAGAGAGGGGGGGGGAAAAAAATGTTGCTCGTTAGCGCTCGTATAACTCTTTTTTTTCCTTTCCTCTGCGCCTTGCGCCTGCTTCCGGAAACGCCGCCGCCGTCGTACAGTCCGTTCTAGGGATTGAGTTTTTTCGCACCAAGCCTTCAAATGCTTGAACGGTCTACCTTTCGCTGATGAAAGGCTCATGGGGTTTTCTGTTCTTTCCCTGCTCTGGAGAAAGACGCGATCGCCGCGCTTAAGGCTGACGTGCAAAAGGCATGCAGGAAGCAGCCCATAGGAAGACGATGTCGGGCTTTGTCGGTGGTTTGCTCTTCTGTTTCATGCCCTGCCCGTTGGAATTCGTTTCTTTTTTCTCCCTGTTTCCTGTTTCGTTTTCTTCCTTGTCGCTACCAAGGCTTAGCTCACTGGAACCATTTCTTGGTCGTGCTCTTGGCATTCGCCGCCGCAGCAGCCTTTTGATTCGTCACGCGCCGCATCTTTTCGCGGTTCCTCGCGTCCAGCTGGCTCCCCGGCCCGTCGTCCTGGAACCAGTGCTGTTGACCGACGGCCTGCTGCTGAGCGTGCGCTGACGACGACGAGGAAGAAGACGAGGACGACGACGACAGCAGGGAGCGAGTGTTGCGCGTCAGGGGCCCGCGCTCGTCAAACATCATTTTGACGCGCTGGACCTTGCGGAGCTTGACGAGGCCGTACCAGCAGACGATGAGGGAGCAGATTGTCGAGGTGATTGTGACGCCGGCGAAGCCCCAGTTGGTGGCCTCGATGAAGTTTTCGAGGTTCATGCCGTAGAGGCCCGCGAGGAAGGTGCCCATTGCTAGGCCTAGGGTGCCGACGCTGAAGCGGAGGTCTAGGAGCATGAGGGCGTTGCGGTTGGCGTCTAGGATTGCGCGGATGCTGGGTGGGTTTTCCATGTTAGTGATGTGTTCGAATTGTGGAAGCCTCGAGAGTCGCTTTTGGGAGTAGAAAAGGGGGGGGGCTTACATCTCCTCAGTGTTGCGGATGCCAGACACCAAGTTCTGAGCCTCCTGGACGATTTCATCGCAGAGCTTGTTGTACGATTCCAGCAGCAGCTCCACCTCGGTATGGTCGTCGACGCCGCGGTAGAGGTCGTGGGCCTTTTCGGTGAGGTACATGGCAGCCAGGTCGTCGTCGGCCTCGAGCAGCTCCTCAATGGCGTCGCGGACCAGCTTGGCCTTTTGCTCAAAGGTGCTCACGCGCTTGGAGAGGATGAGTAGGACGCGCAGCTTGTGGCGGTCGATGTCGTGCTCGAGCTCGCTGAGGACGCGGATGACGGGGTCCCGAACGGACTCGAAGTCGGCCTCGAGCTCCGACGTCACGGAGGTGAGGACGGCCTCGAGAGCGCGGAACTCGTAGGGGAGACCGCCTACGCCGTTGCCGCCGCCGCCCTGGGCGTTTTTCTGTTTCAGCTTGCCTTGCAGGTCGTACATGAAGGCAGATTGCGGGTAGGACGTCTTTGAGCCGTAGACGTCGAAGAGGAGGACGCGGTCCTTTTTGATGAGGACTTTGAGGTGGAGGAGGTTGAGGAGGATGGCGGACTGGCGGACAAAGATGTGAGGGAGGTTTGACGAGTCAATCTTTCGCAAGTCGCGGGGTAGCAGGCCGTACTACAAAATATCATATCTTTCGTCAGCGATCCAGTCTCTCATCACCGAGTCACCCTCATCATCTATTCCACATGGAGCACTTCTCTCACCTTTGCGATGAGCTCCGTCTTCTTGAACTCGCCATCCACCAAGATGACCTCGCCGTTCTCGTCCACCTCTGTGCACCGCAGCCTCGGCTCAAGCGCAGCTTTGGCAGTCAAAACGCGGCGATTGTTGAACATGGAGCCCCCTTCGTCGTGGAAGGGGAGGTCGTTGGGCTTCAGCGCCTTGGCGCCGCCCCAGCTCCTGATCCCCCAGAGCTTCTCCTTCCACGTCCGCCGGCGGGGGACCGATGGGTCGTCGTCACAGGCATCTTGCCTCACGCGGGTTGTGCTAAAGAAGGCGGTGGCCGTCGAGGGCGACGACGATGCTGCTGTCGCTAGTGGTTCGAGGGCTCTTGGCCTGCGGGATATCCGGGCCGCGGCGGTGATGTGGAGCTCGGGTCGTCTACAGCTCGTCGTCGTCGTCGTCGCACTCGAGAGGGATCTCGTGCCCGTCTTTGGGGTCCGCCTCGCGAGGCACCGGGAGTATTGAGCTGCTGGTCGAGGGGAGCCGCCACATCGGGAGATACAGGCGGCGGAATCGATGCCTTGGTTCCGGCTGCTGAAGATTGAGGCCTCCGTTTGCGACCGCAGGAATCGGAGCAGGTTTGTCGAGGGTACTCGAGTCTGCATCGCGGGAGGCATCGCGGTCGAAGGACCCTTCACCGCATATAATTTTCTATGCTTCCCTCGTGGAGGTTGTCGGGTTCACTTGCACGATGGTCTGCAGGGTCGGAATTTGCGACGCGAAAGCTCTCAATTGTCGTCACTCAACCAACTTTTTTTTTTTGGTCGTTTTCGCAGAGAGTTTAAAGTTGGGACCACTGCTGCACGGTCCAGGTGATCACGGACAGTCCTTGATGTCATTCAACACGGCTCTCGCACAGTACGAAACCCACATGGGGGGAAATCTCGAGGACCCTCCAGTCACTTAATTAGCGGGTTGAGAGAAAAAAAAAAGTGCATTTGTTGAAGGGTTTTCACGGGGAGGCAAGAATATCTGCAATCAATCTGGCACGCCTGCTTGGCTGCAGTATTTCTCTTTGGCTTCTTTTGCATAGTATCTCAACTGCCGAGCGCATCGTCCCTTTGAAGTCCAGACGAGGTTTGATAGTTGGAGGCACAAGGTTTTTCACTTACACCATCCTTACCTCAGCTCCAGCTTTTTCTTCAAACCATCCTCATTGATACCCCTCTCATAGAAAGGTCTATCAAGCTCGGCAATTATTTTCGACTCTCATCTCTGAAATGAGACCGCAGAGATAAAAGCCCGTCTGGGGATACGAGAGAGCGAGAGAGAGCGCAAACGGGGAGAAAGGTGGCTGTCTGTCCATGGGCAGATCATGCAGTTGACCCCGATCAAAGTCCGAGGCAAGCGTGGCAAAACCGCTTCCTCCAAACCACAGACCAAGGAATCATCATCATCACTGGCGAAGAAGCGGGCGTCACGCCTTGCAAGTCGTCCAGTCGCCAAACGCTTCTCGCTCTTTGAGCAGAACTTTCCCCTTGAGATCGCCGAGCATATATTCATCCTCAGTGAGAATCTCAATCTTCCCCGTTGCAGCCCGCGCATCGGCGCTCTGCTGTCTGGTCGATCTACTCTTGTCAACATCATCATCGCCGCCTTCCATCCGACCTGGGACTGCTGGTTTGGTGTCGATAAGCGAGTGATCAAGACGGCTTTGAAACAAGGCGCCGCAGACGACGCGCGAGGACTATGGCGATATGAGAGCTTCCCTGAGTTATTCCCAGGTGATTCTGAATTTCAGGTATGACTCAATTTCACCGCAGGAAAGCTTTCCAGCTTGCTGACTTTTATGACCAGTCTTCGCTACTGAGCAGTCCATGGATCAACGTAGACGTCATCTTTGAGGCCCGACAGGTCTGGGCTTGGCGCTTCGCTCGTAACAGGTGGTACTCACACTCCCACGTGAGCCTCAAAAATGAAGAAGATACAGAGCAGGATAACCCTCTCGAATCACCACATGATCGAGTAGGCGGCTTCGGTCACTTTGACTCCCGCGGGTGTTTCGAATACGACTGGCTCTCCTACGGCCTCAACGGCTCCAAACCGGCACTCGACTTTTACGTTGACGTACACCCAAAGACGACGATCCCAGACGATATCCTCACCGGCCCGTGGACGCTCGAGCAGCAGAGGCTTCTTTTCTGGCTCCGGAGAGGCGGCGCCAAGATTCAGCCAGAGACTCAGACTTGGGAAGTAAGTTTACATATAGCCAAAAAGCATTGTACTTGCAGCAAGTGTAAAGGTGACTTTACTAACACGCACACAGACTCTTCGCATCGGCCTCCAAAATGCCGTCACGCATCGTAGTCCAGGCAACCTAGACGGCCGCTTGATCGAGATGCTCCTCCTGGTGGAAGACTACTTCCCCTCGCACGCACTGGAAGACAACGCGTCGCTGTGGCCGCTCGAGATCCTCGAGGAGGAGCACGAAAAAGTTGGTCGGCTGCTAGCTGCGAGGGCCCGCAGTACCGCGGGGCCACTGTTTGAGCTCGTTGAACTTGAGAAACGGATGATTGAGTACCATCGCCGCGTGGTCGATCTGCTTACATCAAGACTTAGCCGCCACGATCGATTGGCGCCGTCTTCGATCATGGCTGCTGGTCTTCTACCTCATCCGCGGAATCGATGAAGAGTACAGGCGGAAAGGAACAGCCTATGTGGATTGAAAAGCATGCATTGGTGTTGCATATGACTTATGAGCTTACGGGACTTACATGCCTATTGTAATGTAATTCTGGGTGTATGGGCGACGAGTGAGACAAGATGAGCATTGACAATCCGGGCCAAGTGGGATCTTGAGTTTGAGATATCAAGATACAAAAAAGAATCAGCTTTTTCATATGCCTGCTTCAAAACTGTCATAGTGAGCGGCATGGACATCCGCTGACTTCACGTCCCTACATCCTATTACTATTGCCATCATTGTCACTGGTGCTATCCTTACTTAGCCAATTCTCTCGAAAACAAGAAAAGTAATTGGATTAAATGCACCCCGAAAAGCCTAGGAAGGCAGCAGTAAGGCTAGCATCGTTGAGGAACTGCTTAATTATGTATCACGACTACATCGAATGTGTGGTACCAAGAAACCGCTTGCTGGTGACAGCACGGGCAGAGGGGTACAGACAATCGCCTCGTTTACTTGGATGCAAAATGAGACGGGCAGGATATTGTAGACCAACATTTTCCTATCTTGCGTTAAATGATGTCTGTGGACCTCCTCTAGGAATTTGTCGCAAAGATTTGGCGGTGTGGGGCGAAGAGGTACTTAGAATTGCTGTCATCCTGAAAACTCCAACATCGAGCGGAGCTATAGCTCCGATCCTCCCCTTGGTGTAGTTGGTTCATCACGTTCGACTGTAATGGTTACATTGTCATCGAAAGGTCTCTAGTTCGATTCTGGAAGGGGAGAACTGCTTAATCTTTTTCATTTTTTGGATATGTTTTCTTTTTGGAATTTGGCCGCAAGTTTTTTTGGCGCAGTCGATTTTGTCATTTGTCTGTTGGGAGTCAAAGGAGGCGAGGGAACCACAATGTTGCGGAGCTCTCTCCCGGTTGTGGAAGCTGGGCGTTTGCTTTTTGCAGTCCTAAGGGTTTTTGATAGTAAACTGGTCGGTTGACCGTTATCAAAAAGGATACCTAGAGGAAGAAGAGTATTTCTATTGGCCTACTTTCTTTCCTCGTTGGATGAGATGATTTTGTTGGATAGAAGGTAGGTGAGTTCCTGTTCCTCACTCCACATGTGTTTGCACTAGGTTTATTTCGTTCAAGAGACACACTTGAAGTGAGGCAACAATATCTAGTGCGTTTCTTCTGTCGGATTGAATGGAGGCATGAGAAACAAGTCGAGCAAACACCTCACGAAGATCGAAGTACATATAACCTTCCCCAATACTTGAAGCAATGGCCAGGAGAAACACCTTCGAAAAGGTCCAAGAAGCTAACGCCGTTAGTCTCTTGAGTGCTACATTCTGATTCTCAAGCACAAGGTTTCAGGGCCGCCTGGCTGAGAACCACCGACCCCGAGGAAAACTGCCCACTTGAGGAGAAGCGAGTAAGCCGAATGAGAGGTACCCTGGAATTGAAATGGTCCTTTGAAGACTCCTCGCATCAAGGAGACGCAAGATAGACTCACACCTGCCTTGCGAAGCTCGCTCCTTTGTTGCATACTAAAACATACCATCGTCACCTTCGAGATTTGATATTGACCAAGAGCATGAGCATCAGCAGCAAGGAAACTCGAGCTCGAACATCACCCCTCCTGCTGCTGGTATCAAGCATCCAAGCCCATCTACTTCCATGCCCCAAAGCGTGCGCGCAAACGACATGACATACACAATCCATCAGAAGATCCCCGTTACCCCCTCGAGCAACTCAGTCAAACACCTCCGTGATCCCCAAGATTCTGAAATACCAATTCACTTCCCAACCGCCGGATCTCTCGGTGCCTCCCCCGCCCTACTCCGCCCGGCCTGCGGGGCAGGAACACATCTGCAAACACATACGGATACATTGCATAAGGTAGGTAGGCTCCTCCGGTATCCGCGCCGCACGCATTCGCAGCTCTCTTCCCGTGCCAACTTTGATTAACCCCAAAATCATCTCACCGAAGGGTAAGATGTTGGGAAACCCCTCTCCACTCGGCGAGCTGAATCGGGCAGGCCGGCCGTTATGTCTTCCCCCTTCCCCTCTCCTTATGTCGATACTTCCGTCACAGAAATAGAGACGTAGAAAGTAAAAAAACACTTCTATGGGCGCTGACCGAGTGAGCAAGGCGGCCAGAACGGGAAGACCTACCGCACCGGGATATCCGGATCAGAAAACCCCCAAAAAGTCGCCGACTGCAAAGGCATCACTTACACCGATGACTGGTTTCCACTAGGAAACAGATCATCCAGCTCCCCCGGCCCCTCGTCTCGGCGTCCCTGATCGAGTGTAGTTGACATCTGACGCCCTTTCGCATCCGAAAATAGTCTCTCAACAAACCTTCGAAAACTCTTCAGAGAATCAGCACGGCCTGTATCCTCGCCGCCTCTGAGAGCGATGCGGGTAGAACGGGCCCACGGGTCCAGGCAGTCGAGCAAAACGTGACGAAACAGCCCTCTCCCGGCCCCCCATCATCGCCATCCACGACACGACTGGCTGCCTGCCTGTCTGCCTACGAAGACGAACCCAAACGAGCCACCCATCGTGACGAAAACCTCAGAATCCAGGCTCTCCAGGCTCTCAAGCTCCATTGTAAGTCCGTGACACCAAGAACCACGCCCCCCTCGCCATCCAAAACGAGAAAGACACTCGTCATTCCGATCCAAGGAAACCAAAGGCCCTCAAGACCCCTCGTGTAAGGCCTTCTCATCGGGCACGTAAACCCGCCCCTCAAATCGTGAAATCCATAAGCGCCTCCCAGAATATGCGTTCCACCACTCGGTGACATACCTCGTCCCCTTGCTCCATGAATCCATCCCCCTCTTACGAGGATGACACTAGTCACCATCATTCCCTCACGCCGGAGCCCAAAGTGTGAAAGGTAAAACGGTGAGTGACTCTCACTATTCATCCATCTTTGTCAGCAGCCGTGATATAACAAAATTCAACATCATGCTGAATCATCCCTCCATCACCTTCCCGAAACCTCCGAAACGGGCGCCTGGGACCGTTTCACGCATGGCCTCTCTCAGACTAGAGACTGGCTAGTCCTCATGGAAGAATGAAGAAGCACCGATATGCGGGTGTCAGCCACTCATTAGCGTCTTGTTACAAGAAAAAAAGAACAAAAACCAGACTTCACATGACAAACCTGTATCAAAAGACCTACCTTGCCCGGCGGCCCCCTGCCCGATGCGTGACCAGGGTAGTGCAAAAGAAAAAAAAAATCTCTTGCTCAAAAGTCCATACTGGACTTTCCTCAAGCGGCAAGCGGGAAACCCACCACCGAACATCGGTTGGACGGTGGTCACCGCCAATGGTGGTGACGCTGGTGAGGTGGTGGTGTCGTTGGAGGCCGGGACCACGGGCGGCGGCGGTGCGGTATGACTCACACTCTCTCACGCTCGCTCACTTTCGACAACCCCCCCCCCCCCCCAGCCGGCCGCGCGCCGCGTTATCGCCGACGAACCATCGGGCGTTAAGGTATTCGTAGTGGTAGCAGCAGCAGCAGCAGCAACCGCCGCGCTGCCACCAAATGACATCTCGTCAGTTTTTCATGGGTCAAAACGCTTGTCAAAAAAAAACCAACCGGTTTTTTGTAGTCTGTTGCATCAAGCTTTCCCGTCTCGGGCTCCGTCTCGGACGGTTGATTGAGGTCAGACTGAGGTCCGCAGCTTGGTCACGGTCAACACGTTGGTAGCAGCTCCGTATCAAAAGGCCTGGCTCGACTACTGACAGTCAAACGTAAGAGGCACCTAATGTCACCGTATTAGCAGTCATCGGAAGCTCTCCGTTCAATGAATAAGCACTCGCAAGTACACCAAAGGTACTTGCTTTCACAAAGCACGTTGTCAACAAGGCTGTTTCCAGCACAAAGGTACACAGAAGAAAACTCGGTTCCAAATCTGGTAAGATTTTGATTTGATAGGCCAGACAAAGCAACAACTTATGTCTCGTGGTCGAAAAGCTAGCTATGAATCTCTCGAGTATAGCTTCATCGCTTTCATGTGAAGTTGTAGTAACACGTGCCGTGTCGTTTCCATGCGCTTTTGCGTGATGAAAACATATCCGATGAATCGCGGCGGATGACAGGTGCCGCTCTCAGCGAGTGAGGTGATGTGTTTCTTGATGGCTCGTTTTGGTCGCCCCTTTCGGATCTCCCATCGAGCGCCCAATCACACTCTCCCAAACTCTGATCGCGGGCGATTCGATGCGGAAGACCCTGTCGTCTCCAAATCCCAGAGTGCAAATAGCCTGAGAACCAGCGATAGCTCGATTCCCAAACCGATAAAAAAACGCAAAAACAATTCAAAACGCATATCAACTCTCTTCTTCGGCGTGATCGTACAAACACAAAACGCGACGAAAATGCCGCAGTAGCTTCTTCGCCATCCACCGCCCCCATATGCCTTGACCTGTTGATGCATGCAAAGATTATCACGCTTTTCGTGCCGTTCCTTGACGCCATCTAAGCTGTTCTAAGGACTCGATGAACCGCCAAGGTGGTATCATTAGCACTTTCCGTATCCCGCCACCCCGTATTGATTTCGTTTTTGACAAAGGAAATGGAGGATATTGCACAAAAAAGGTCAAGATGTGTTCAACTGTTGACCAGTGGGTATCTCGGGAGGTGTGCACAATGTGCTCAGTTGAGAATTCCCTCCCACATGCCCGGTCCGCGGTATCCGTCGATTGAATGAAGCATTGATGCCTCGTAAGCCGGAGCAGCCTCGCTGGCGCAGCAGACGCGCTTGCGAGGGGTGCCACGGTCATTTGTGCCCATCTGGCTGTTGCGAGGGCGAACCAGATCCTGGGTCCATTGCTTGCCCGAGTAGTTACCGGTGAGCATATCCCGAACATTCTCCTGGAGGCAGTTGTCGACGATTGAGACACCTCGAGCGCGCTTACGGGAAGACATGGCAGTAGGAGTAGAGTCGTCGGAACGGTAGTTCTGAAGCTCCTGTAGTGCCCGTGCGGCGTCATTAGCGGGATCATGCGTCGATTCATCCAATTCGCGTTCTCTCTGAGCCAAAGGAGTATCCAACGACATTTCGCAGAGTCTGCCAACCGGGCCGGTGTAAGACTCAGGCGAAGAGGTGATGCAATTCTCTTCGTAGTCCTCAGGAACCGAGGCGATAGTCGGTCTCAAGCTTGACCTCTCACTACACAGCTTCGCAGACCGGAATCGCGCCTGGACCCCCAGAGGGGCCGGCGCGTTGACCAGTGAGGAGGCAGATGAGATGGAGGAGGAGCGAGAGGTGCGCGACGTATCAGAAACCATGGATTCGGGAGAAGACGCGGTTGAGATTGAAGTGGCGAGAGAAGAACGACGAACGGGGAAGTAACCCTGAGGAGACGAGGTGTTGGCAACAGGCCAGCGATCGAGGCACTGGGTTGCGCTGATGCATGAGGCCTGGGCCATGGCGAGGCCCATCGCGCTGCCCTTGCTGAGGTGGGATGCAGCACCCACGGCAGGAGTGCTGTATCCGCTCGACTGGGGCGTCAGACGCGGGGTGGGAAGTAACCCGAGAGCGGGAGCCAGCCGGCCCGGAGTGTATACAGTGGCCGGGGAAGGCTCCATAATATTCGGGGTTTGGTAGGATCTCGGGGTAGGGGTAAGCTCGGCTGAGTCGTACCCCAATCCACAAGCGCCGGTCGTAGCCAAAACATCTTGCGCCGCCGGCAGCATGGTGCGGTGACGAGACAAGGTGCGGGAGCTGGGAGCGACGTGCGCCGTGGGAATCAAGCCTTCGATGTTGTCCAGCTCGGGATTGAGTTTGAGGATAACCATCTTCCAGTTCGAGCTCTGTTGCGCATACCATTGGGCGGAGGTTCCGGGAGCGGGAGGGGACGGAGGGGTGTACTTCAAGACGATTTCTGTCCAGCGCTGGAAGACTTCGTCGGTGATGTGCAGCTTCCAGTCGACCGCCAACAAGAATGCAATCTCGTTTTGGTTGATTTCCCCCGTGTTGAGCCCGGAAATCTTACTCCAGGCTCTGGCAGAGTAGTTACGATCTTGGAGGTACTTGGAGGCGAGGATGAGAGCGGCGAGGAACATGCGGCGGCCGCATTGAAGTGCGCGGCACTCCTGCTTGTCGTCGGGCTGTTCCATGGTGAAATCGTGCTTCGGGACGTGGGGCTTAATCAGAATCAGGTAGTACAGCGCAACCTGAAGGGTGGAATAGCTGGTGCGGGAGCGGCGCAGGGTCTCCTGAATGAAGGTGCGCAGCGGCAACACCGCCTTGTTGCCGAGTTCATTGCGACATACGACTGAGGAAAGGGGCCAGATGGCCTCGACGATCTGTGTCGAAGAATCTAGAGTGACGATTGGATTAGGAGACTGGACGGCTGCACACATGTTCAATACTGCTTACCAACAAGGTTGTCGACAAAGTTGACCTTGCGCTCAGCCTGGCGAACCAGGGTCGGGGGTGCTCCAGAGCGGGTGGCGCTCCCACTGGTTCGTCTGGGGTTTTGTCGCAGCTCCTGGGGAATGGCAGCAGCGGCTTGCTGAGTGGGTTGTCTAGGCCAGGGGCTTGTGAATCTAACAGCAGTGTCGCATGCGGCTGAGGGTCGCGACAAGCAATATACGTCGGCGGAATCGGAGTCGGAGGTGTTGGTGGGGGATGTCGAGGTAGATGATTGAGAGGATACAGCAGACCAAACCGAGCCGGACGATGTGGAGGTCAGGGATTCGAGGGAGGAGCTGTAGGTGTTGTTTTGGTAGGTGCTGATGAAAGCCGACGAATCATCGGTGGCGTACTTCATCTTGGATGTAAGTGGCGGAGGGTATTTGGCGTTTGGGGGTTTTTCGATATGGGAGTGATTCCTCCAGTCGCCGTCAAGCTAAGTCAACCGGGTAAACCGTGAAAGGGTTCGTATGAGCAGATCGTGATACCGTATCAGAAACGCGCAACTTCACAACAGCTACTAGTTACTGTTGTAAAGTCTTTGAGAGTCGTAGATAGGGGTGGCGGCTTTTAGACGCAAATGTCCACAGCCGACGTTACACGAAGGATCAAACCGGAAGACGAAACAAGACGGGCGACTGGAGTAGATTTTGTAATTCGAAGAGGCATCGTATGTTTAATGCATCTAATAGGAGGGGCTAAAAGGTCCTGATTATATGGTGAGCTACTGCAGAGCCACCATTGATGCGATGCGATGAAGTGTATAATATTAGATGTATAATAGGTGAGTGATGATAGGGTGGCTAAGGGTTGAGAGGAGAGTTGGTGATGTTGATTAAAGGAAGGCGAAGTCGGAGTCGGAAGGGTAGAGTGAGGGGAGAGGTGAGGGGAGGCAAGGCGCTGGGCCAAGTGTGGCTGCGAGGAGAGGTTATATCCAAGCAGGTGGGATGAGGTGTGACTCTTTTTCGCCTTGCGCCGCCCGTGGTATCTCGAACGAACGTGTTCAGAGGGGCGACTTGGCCTGGCGTGACGAAGTCGGAGGACCCCTTGGGTGGCTCAAGTCTGGCTCGAGGGCCCCAGATTGGGTGTGGATGACTCTTTCGGGTTTGGGGTGGCGAAGGGGGGGTGAACCTGGTTGGGTTGCCGCCCAGGCAGGTGGCTCCAAGTGACCGACAGGTGTGAAGATGGAAGGGGGGGGGGGGGACCACACAGGGGAGAAGGGGAAAGTGCAAAGTGCGTGAGTGCGTGCGCGCGGGAAGGAAAGAGAGTGATTGAGAGGTGCAAAAGGTGGCAGTGGCAGTGGCAGCCTAGGGAAGGCCGAGAAGGAGACCCCGGGGGTGGACAGGGGGTGGGTAAGAGTGGTCCGGTTGAGTGCGTGATCGCTCTCGAGAACCAGGAGAGGCAAAGGGGAGAAGAGTGACAGGCAGGCCGGATAGGTAGCGTTGTCTCTCTGTTTCTCTCTCTCTATGACTCTCACTCTCTCACTCACTCATGCTGCTTCTCATCCACTTTTGCGGCGTTTGACGTGTTCGTGCTAGCTGGTGCTGGGCTGGGGGGAAAATGCTGTGCAGAAAATCAAACTGGGCTTGGTACTAACCTTGCAGGCAGTGCTTTGAGTCCCTCGGATGGAGATGTCTCTTGGCGACTACAGAGGAGTGTGGCGAAGGAGATGCTGGGTCAGCTGATGAGAAGCCAGGTTGAAAGATGAGTCGTAATCGTCGTGTGAGCTATTGTCGTGGATATTGCCGGGGCAAGTTGATTAAAAAGGAATGAGTATAATGTGTCAGAGCCGAATGAGATAGTTGCAGGGTATCGGAGAGATATTTTTTGGTTGAAAGGCAGGAAAATGAGTAACTGTGAGAGACAAGGAGCTTGCGTGAAAACGCTGGTAGGCAGGTAGGCAGCAGAGGGTCCGGTGGGTGATGATGAGAAAGGCGTATGACTCTATTGAAGCCTTAATCCGATCTCAAAATATCCCAGCGTAAGAGGGATTGAAAGCCTGCGTGCCTGGGCTGGATGGTGATGGTTGTTGCTGGTGGTGGAGCTTGTGCCGAAAATGGAAAGTATCCGTAGGTTGATGCCTTTGTTAGCCGCAAGGAACAAGTGAATGCCGCTGCGGTTGCAAACAAGGAAGCCTAGGAATGGCGAGGGTCAGGCGGTTGTCGTGTGTTGTTGAGGATGATGATGATGATGTGTTGCGGTGATGCTCGATGAGTAACGTGACCGAGGGTGGCCGAGATGACTCTTGGAGGCGAGGATGAAGGGATCCGGTAGATTAGGACACGGTGAGTGACTGATCTGCTGGCGAGGACGGGAGTGAGAGGAGAGAGTGAGAGGCGTAGTAGACGTGTTGCTACACGACCCAGAAAGCAAGTTTACAAAGGAATAAGCGGAGAGTTGGTCTAGAGTCTCTTCCCAGGGATTCCCGAGATGAGGCACGTCTAGCAGACTTCGGAGAGTCGCTGTCGTACAAATTTAGACCTTGGAATCGAACATGGCGATGGCGATTGTTCGATGGATCAAAAGGAAAAGGAAGGGGGGGAGGACATAGGTGCACGGCGATGTGGGCGCGGCGATAGTTTTGAATGCCTGGGGGAGCACTCACACACCCAGCCAGACTCCACGGGCAGGTCTCTCCTACTCTCTCTTTCACTCTGACCCTGCTGCCGTCGCGACGGTACGGATACAGGCAAGAGCAAGCCCGGTAGGAAAAAGATACATTGAACGGGACGGGCAAAGGTACATGGAGACAAGTACCGGACACTGGATTCTGGTATGGGAAACTGGTGTGGGCCACTGGGAACTGGAACCTGGGAATTTGTGCACACGTTGATTCGAAGGCTGGAAGGCGTGGAAGGGTGGTACCTAAGGGTTGGTGGGAAGGAGCAGATGGGGACTTGCTGCCACTTGCAATTGCCTTGCACCGACCTCTTGCTGGCCACTACCACCTCACCTCACCTCGCACCTCACTCGGTTTCCCTGGGAAAGAAAAAGAGAGGGGAGAGGGGAGACCTGAGAGAAAGGATGCAGCCGGGGCCCGGAACACCCAGCGAGTCTCAGCATTCGACCACTGTCTTTTCTTCGTCTGTCTTTTCATTGGTCTATACCGTGATACAAAGTGGGTCGCATCGTTCTCCTTCCCGGGGTGGAGGGCATATTGAAAACCAAAAAAAAAAAATAGCCACCGTCTCCACTCTTTTTCCATTGCTCTCAGACTCACACTCTCATCCACCTCTCTTTCTCATCTGGAAGCGAGTGTGTCTTTCCCTCGCTGCTCCTCACTCATCTTTACTGCTATTACTCATACTCATCCAGCTACTCATACACACCTCTCACGCAGCACACACACACACCAAATGCCCCCAAAATGCCCTTGCCTCCTCTTACTCACACTCTCTCACACATTGATAGCTGCATACCCAAACTCCACTTTACCCACCTCTCATGTGTCTATTCCAGTGTTGCTATCTGTTCTCTGCTTGTTCTCTGGCCAAGGCCCCAAACTGCTCAATCATCAACTGCGTTCCTACCTGCTTCGGTGCTTGTCCTCTCATGCCCATGACCGTTCAGGTATCTCTGCTTCTGTTCCCACCCGGCCCAAAAGCCCGAGATGATGCCCGAACTTTCCATCGCCACCAACCAGACCAAACGGCACTGTGACCTTGTGGTAGACTGTGTACCGTACTGCAAAGTAAGGTATCCATTTCCATTTCGTTCCATGCAGCATTCATCCCACCCCTTGATGCCTAGCAACCTTGGGGTCTGTCTGTCTGGCTTTCTGCTCCGGTGCCTGAGCTTTTGGAGCTTGGAGCTCTTCTCAAGTTCGCTATCCCCTCACGGCCTGCGTCAAATCTTCTGCACGACTATTTTGGCTCTGGCATCTTCCGTCGCCAAGTGGCTGCTCACGTCGTAACCTCCTTCTTGATTGGTCAAAGTTGTTCCACGCCATGTCGTTTGAGGTTAGCCCCGCCAAGCCTAAAATGGCTTCTCAACCACTCGTGTGCGGCAGCAACACACCCTCTGCAGTGGCCCAGCCTTTGTGGTTTCTGGCAAGCTGCACCGCTGAATGGCTGCTGCTGCCCAGCCCCAAGCCGGCCAGGCAGGAGCAGACTGAGGTGCAGTTGCAACTTGCAAGAGAGAGAAGGAGCCCCCCGGGGTAAGGCAGCGTGGCAGGCACGGATGCTAGCGCAGGGAAGGAGGGGGGGAAAGAGTCATCGTTGACCATCAAGCCCCCCCTCCGCCACGCCATCGCAATCAATCCTCATCCTGTGCCGTGGACTTCGAAATCTGCAGACATTGACGCCCTCTTTCAACGACCTACCCATGCCTTTCTCTTCCGCCCATCCACACCTGCTCCAGCTATAGCGCCACCTTTATTTGGTTATTGCAATTACAGCCAGGCGACAAACCCAGATTTGCAGGATGAGATAGAGACACAGACCTTCGATAACCCTTGCAACCTGGGGATGAAGCACGCCGTGTCTTTCGTGTAAGCATGAACACGCCACGGCTTGTGCTTATGAGGGTATCACGAGTCTGGTCTCAACGAGATATTGGCCTTGAACATTTTTGATTTATTAATCCGGCGAGCTGCAAGCGAGCCCACTCGACCCCCGGCGCACGCGACAATCTTCGAAGAATCGACTGACAACAGCTGTTGTCTCGCCCAAAGTCTCGCCACTAGACAACCAAGCTTTGATCCAGAGGAATATCTCGAGGGGAGAGAGATTGCGTGCCATCATCCTGTCTCATCATGCCACCACACACCCTTTGAGAGCTCGGGGAATCGGGGCAAGCAAGCCAGCCAACCGCAATGCTCCTAATTACCTTAGCCACAGCCAGAAATCACCTACGAGAGATACCGACACGCGCACGCACCACACAAAAGCGTCAGCTCCAATCAGCGCTGTTGGCGAATCTCGATGGGCTACCGAGTTGAGTTTACACGGCCATGCAGACATTGACCTGACCACCGATGGGGCATACGGAGTACTCAGTGTATGAATACTGCGGCTCGGCTTACAAAGTCAAAGCAACATTCAAAGGGCGTCAGCCCCTACCATCGCGAGCACTCCTCCACCGAAATGCCGTAGAGCGCGTCCAACGATGATATCACCCCAATTTCGCTGTCGGACTACTGATCGAGAGCCGACGGAACTTCCTGCCGAGGTCGACAACCTGAGCTCCATCAGGTATCCATACAGGAACGATGGGCCTCTGGACGGATCGTTCTAGGGTCCTCGGAATCCTCCCTAGACAGTGACCTCATACACACTCAGGGCCCAAACCCCAGTGGCTCAGTGGTCTTTGCAAGCCTGGAGCATGACAAACTGTCGCTGAGAAAGGGTTCATCCTCCA